CCGATCTACCTCTGTCAACCACCTCTTTATTTTAGATTTTTATCACTCTKTTTTCCATCAACGATTGCCACGTGAAAGCTCTAAGTCAAGAAGTCAAGCCAGCAAGAAAGTCCGAAAGTTAGAAGGTACGGTTTCATCATCCTAAGCTACCTCACCTCACTAAGTCCAGTCTTTGTCCTCACATCTACGGGTACCACAAAATAATCAAATAATCTTTTTGAACGAGGGACAAAAGGATTAATTAAGAATTTATCAAAAAATAAAGTTATTATTTAACATATTTTATTGCAGGGTTGAGTTTCGGTTAAATAGTAAGAATGAATCTCCACACTTGAATCAATTTTAAATAAAAAAAAACATTAGATCAACACTAATGAGATACACCAGATCAATTCTAAAGCTCAATTCATGAGTTGGTTTGAGATTAAAAATGATCGATGGTGCAAATCATTTATTATACTTCTCACCTTAACTCTTATTCTCACGTAATCTTTCATTTTTTTAATACATTTTTATATATTCATAAATATTGAATTTACAAAGAAACAACTACTACAATTATTAGTAGTATTTTTGTTCCTACTAAAAGACGTGTGTGTGGTGGGTTGTTATGGAGAAGCACCAATGCTTGTAGAATTCCCCCTCCAACCACCAACAAACGCGGCTTTGCTACTTTCTTTGTGAGTAAATTACGTTTTTAGTCCTTATGGTTTGTTAAGATTTGAGAAAATTTGTATTTCAAATCTATGTTAATTCCATATTTGGTATGTTAAATTGTTCGGATTTGAAATCTTATGATTTAATTGAAATCCTACAAACATAGGATTTTGAATCTTTAAGGAATGCTCGAGATTTCACAAGATTTCGTAGAATTGTATGCAATAAGGTTTTAAAATGTTAAAAACATTTATTTTGTAATAATTGATTAATAAAAATGTATTTTTTATAAATTATTTATAATTAATAGAATCCAATTTTATTTCAAATCTTACAAACCAAACACATAAATGATTTCAGATCCATTCCAATCCAAATCTCCATAAAATCTAAATCCCTACAAAATAATCCTACAAACCAAACGACCCCTGAAATTTGTTTAGTTTGTAAGATTTTAGATTAAGAGATTTAAAATTGACATCCATGTCAATTTCATGTTTGATTTAAAATATTTTCTGGATTTGAAATCCAAAACACATAGGACACAATGGTGTTTGATATTTAACGGGATTTTGTAAGATTTGGATGTAATAATATTTAAAAATGTAAAAACATATATTTTGTAATAATCAATTAATAAAAATATAATTTAATTATCTTTAAAATTTGTTTTTATGAATTATTTATAAAGAATGGAGTCCATTCCATTCCATATCGTACAAAGAAACACATCAAAAGATCCTTCCAAATCCAGATCCCTCAACGAAATCTAAATCCCTTAAAACCATTTAATCAATCAAACCAAAGACCCAATTCAGTTCCAAATCTTAGGATCCAAACACACCAAATATTCTAAATCATTTCATAAAATCCATATCATTCAAAAGCATTTTGTCAAACCTCCTGGAGTCTTTGTAACCAACCATTCAATATTTGATCTACCTAAAGAACCTAATCTCATCAAAGGTGACATCCAAGCTCGCATTCAAAAACCTTTTAAAGGGCGTTTGATTCACATAATTCCAACGGAATTGGATGATCAAATTTCATTCACACATTTGGTTACCTATACAAGGGAATTGAATTCCACACTCGTCATATTTCATAGATTTGATCATTCCATCACAACTGATAAGGAATTCAATTCCACTCCATCTCATTTTCTCAAAAAAAAAAAAAAAAAAAGTATCCCCAGTTTCCTACTCGATTTACCTAGACCCACATGATCTCCATCGGAACCACCGTTTTGAACCACAACCGACTACCACCATTATAAAAGGGGTATTTTGGTAATTTATCGTTTGTTCATTCCAATTCCTAAGCTACATTCTATCAACCGAACAAGCAGATTCCAAATCATTTAATACATTTCCTATCAATTCATTCCAACCAAACGTACGATCAAATTCCATTCTAATTCCTTTAAAGTTAAATCTTTTTGACAAATTCTATTCCTGAACCAAACACCCCTAGACTCCTTGGCTCACACTTCATCTCACAGAGGCACCTCCCCAAGCCACCGTCAGTATTTAGAATTCATGCATCTTGGATGGTCAAAAATTGGCAGTAATTATAGAGGCACGGGAAATGTGTCATACTATGAGATGACTATCTTAAACTAAAGCTGAAATATTTTAAAAATAATAAACACCATAGTCAAGCTTGGTGTATATCAGCATACGACTCGACAAAACAAAAACTTGTCGTCTCGAACGAAAATCAAGAAACAAGACAACCTTAATAAATTATTAAACTACTCACATCAAATTGAACCCCTAAAATACTATAGCACGTTCCATCCACTCTGAGTACAAATATGAACAACCCTAGTTGTAATTGATAGACTTTCATGCTAGTTCTTGCTCTGACATGAAAGTTCCATTTCAAGAAACGACAACGCACTATGATACTCTCTCTTTTGTTGAGCCTTATTTTAGTCTCTAGTTTGATGGTTGTACTTGCTAAAATTCCGATACATTCCATTTTGTTCCCATCCCAATCTTCCGCAACACTTAAGGGTTACTTCTTTCGTTAAGTCCAAATGCACCTTTACACTGTGTTCTCGAAGCCTTTTTTACAAAAAAAGAAAAAAAAAAAGGAAAGGAAAGGGAGGGGAAGTGGAAGAAAGTAAAAAAAAAAACTCGGTGTTCCCAAAATATTTTTAGAAGAGAAACAAAAGGAATCGGAAAGAAAGAAATCATAAGTTTCCTCCTAAAACTTTCCTTCTAGACATGGGAGGGGAGGGAAGGGAAGGAAAGGAAACAAATTAGAACCCTTTATAGAAATTATTAAAATTACAAAACTACCCAACCTTCCATAATAAAAAAACATATTTTTAAAAGGTATATTTGTAAAAAAAGACAGGTTTCCTTTCTCTCATGTTCAAGAACATGAAAAACTATTTTTTCTTTTCTTTTCCTTTCTTTTCCTTCTCTTTCAAGAACATAAATAAAAAAATTATTTTATTCCTTTCTTTTCCATTCTTTTCTTTTCTTTACTTCCCAAATTCGAGAATAAGCAATAAGGCGCTATGTAAAGATGCACAAAGAAGGCCAAGCCCGGAGGGCAGCCCAAGTCTAGCCCGAGAGCCCCCTCCTATTGAAAAAGCCCGGTCCAGGACAGGCCTCAAAACCTGATCAGGACCAAAATTATGGGGGCTGGTCCGGGCCAAAATTTTGGACCCAAATTGGGCCCTTTACAACCCCCCAAAGCCCGGCCCTAGCGTAAAAACCCAGGCCTTCTGCATCTCTAAGCAGAAGGAATGCATATAACTTGAATTACAAAGGGCACTATTGTTCTTCTATAAGAATCAACATGAGCATTTTCTCTTAAGTAGCGTTTGGTACGCAGACATAATTAGACGGGACAAAACTGGACAGGACAAGACAGGACAAGAGGGTAGGACTGAACATAATAGGATAATGTCTGGTGTTTGGTACGACTAGAACTGGACGGGACAGAACTAGACAAGCCACCCCAAAAGTTATTTGATGATTTTAAATATTATATAATAGTTATAATTAACACAAATAAAGTAAATAATTAAAGAATAAATATTTGTACATAATTTTCATATTTGTACCAAATTTGAATGAACAATTTGATATAATTGATTGTAGTGGTGGTGGTGGTGGTGGTGGTGGTGGTGGAAGTGGTTTTGGTTATGGTGGAGGTGGCCGACAGTAGTAGTGGCAACGGGCGGTGGTGGTTAGTAGCCGTCAGTGGTTATGGAGGTAGAGGCAGTGGTGCTTGGTAGACAACGGTGATTATAGAAGACATGAGGATGGTAGATTGTGGTGGTGGTGGCGGTTGACAATAGTAGAGGAGGTAGTTGTAGTTGATATAGTGAAGATAGTGGTGGTGGTGGTTATAGTGGAGGTGAGGTGGCAATGAATGGTGGTGGCCGATGGTAGTGGAGGAGGTTGTTGTAGTAGAGGAGGAGTTGAAGGTGGCGAACGGTGGTAGTGGTGGTGGGCTGGTGGCAATGGATGGTGGTCGACTATGGTAAAGGTGGCAATGGACTTGGTGGACGGTGGTTGTAGAGGCGGTGGAAGATGTAGTGGAAGAAGAAGTGGCCGTCAGTGACCGCCGGTAGTGGCGGCAATCGCCGAAACTAGCGGTGATGACCATCAAAATAAATACCATATTAAGATTATATATCAAACTAAGGTAGATTAGTAATATTTTAGTTTCTTACTCATTTTTGTCCCACCTTGTTCCACCTATTTTGGTGGAACAAGAGAAAACCTCTTTTGTCCCAAGTTGTCCCACCTTGTTTGTCTTTGTCCCATGTCGCGCCAAACGTGGGACAATGAGTTCTTATTCTGTCCCATGCTGCGCCAAACGTGGGACAGTGGATTGTCTCGTTCTGTCATGTCCCGTCCCATGTACCAAACGCAGCCTTACAGTCGCATGGCATTCCATTTCACGATATTCCTACCTCATGTTACAAGCCTGTGGAAATCTATAACTTAACAACTCTAATGGCATCAAGCCTCGGTTCAACTCTAAAAAGCAGTCCAAATCGAGTTCTAATAACAAGTCTCCATTTGATCATCAGTTTTCCTACTAACTGTTTACTTTGATTTAGGAATAGTACTTGAAAGTTGAATCTTTTATAACCTATCCTACACCCCATTATGCAAGAAGATCATTTCCTTAAAAAGCGAACGATTTGCATTATTCATTTACAATCTACTTAAAGAACACAAATTATCATATCAACTATAAAATGATGACAGATTTTTATACACAAAAAGCACAAGAAATCGAATATATTACAGAAAAAGTAAACAAGAAACCTGTAATCAGCAGTGAGAAAAGAACCAACTTTAGCTCAATCATCAAGCTGAGACAACGGTAACAACATGAGGAACCTTTGCATCATCGAAAGGCAGACTAACGTACTCACGAGCAAACTCTTCGGCAATCTCGATAGCCAATTCTCCATGTAAAGCCTTACAGTACATATACAACACAGTATTAGCTGCAGTATAATGAAGCAATAAGAATGTCAAAATGCTCAAGAACCCCGACGTTATAATCGTCTGCGAGACGAAATCCCAGCTTCTCCATTCATCAATGGTGCCAAAATCCAACAAACTATTGGAGGCCATCCACACCCAAAACCCAATCTGAACTCCAAAAACCAAAATCAATGATAACGAAACAGATCTCATCCCGTTAACTAAATACGAACTTCTCCACAAGGGCTCAAACCCCCATTTCGATTCGGTAACAGCAACAACAGAAGCTAATCCCCAATTCACTTGGAAATAAACCATTATCAAACTCAAAGCGACACCGAGAAATGCACAAAACCAGAAGAAATAACTCGAGTTATAGTCGATTACAAACCCTAGGTTTTGGGCTAACTTGATAATTACCACAACAAACATTAGAAAACTCAGAGATATCAGAAAAATGAAAAACTTAGCTGCAATTGCGGTCGAAACGAGAGGGAAGAAAGAGAAGATTATGGATTTGATAGCAGGGAGAAACTTCACCGGTCTGCCATAGAAACCGTGGTATGTGCTGTGGGTAATTGTGGCTAGGGCACAGATGGAGAGAAGGTAGACCACGAAAGTGTAGACGATAGGAAAAATTAGGGTTCGTGGCGACTTTAGAGTATAATCGCCGGCGCTGAAAACGACGTCGGGTCGGGTTTGGGGGAGGCAGGCGGTGGGGAAGATGACGATAGAGCAAGATAGAGGGAGGAGGAAGAGGAGGGATAAAGCAAGGAAGTGGCGGGAGTGAGCGTTGACGATTCGCTTTGACTCCGATAGAACGCCACAGAGGTTTAGAGTGTGCGCCGGTGTCATCGCCATGGCGGAAGATACGGCGACGGTGTTGGTGTTGGCGTCGACCGGAGTACGGATGAAATGAGCGCGGCGGAGACGATGGAGAGAATGATTTGATTAGACTGACTTTTCCGGTTTCGGATCGGTGGCGGTTAAAGGATTTATTTTCAAACATTTGACGTTTTCTAGAATGGCCGAGAAAGGTCGTATAGATCATAAAATATTTGGGTTACTTCGTCAAATAAAACTCATACATGTATCTATATTTATGGTATTGTTTATTGATGTATATTATTTAAGATTTTTGATTATAATTAATTTTACGTAAGTATAATTTATTAAATTTTCATTTTAAATTTATGTAACTAATTGCGTATAAACATAATTAAATACAAGATAAACATCCATTTTAAATATATAAAATCTAAA